GATGGATTTTGGCGGATTCAGGATATTTTTTTAGTAAATATACCAAATTGCAAACTCGTGAAGTGATAATAATAATAATAAGATAGTGTTCTTCCAACAAAATAATGATGTAAAATTATTAAGCTCACTTTTCAAGGATTCTTTTGCCATATGGGCCCGTCCTAGTATTCCATATGGAAAGGGGGATTAGATTTACTAGAGGATTGCTCTTAAAGGAGAAGTTCTGTGGCTGTGATTGAATCAACATAGTATGTCGCTGGGCTCTCGAAGAAAGCTTGGTAAATATTTGAGGGTGTGTGCTGATGGACTGAGATGATTTGCACTGTGTGCCGATGACAGTTCATCTTACAGAAAAATGATGAACGCCTTGTGTGAGCAATGCGCAGTGGATGGGGAATTGTATTTATGTGAAACACTTGATGAAAGGCTTGCGGTCGTCATTTGACCGTCTTCCAGCCAGCACAAGCAGCCAGTAAATATTTGCAGGCATATTGTGTGGTTATAACTTTGAACTCGGTCGAGGGGTAGACACCATTTATCATGACACGCGCGTGGAAATTAAAAATTTCGCCTCTTGAGAGAAAGTGAAATTGAGAAACTGTGGGCCGGCTTGTTTGATGGTGATGGCAAATAGGGAGACAATTTAATGTAATCATGTAGTACATTGTTTTTTGTATAATGCATGCATTAGTCCGAAACAAAGTTCAAACAGAATCCGTATTGGAATAATGACAAATGATAGACCTTGGTCATGAGGGGAAACCATTTTTGATCGCGTTCCCTGAATTTTATTTTCTTATACGCGATTCTGTCGCGGCGATAAATGTCACACGTTTTTTATAATTACACACAAATCAATGAGCGCAATAACATTTATATGCGGCAAAGTCGTACATGTACAACTTATTGCGCTGATTTCAAAAATCGCACAACGTATCACACATTTTGTTCATTCACACACGCCATGTGCGGCATAGTCGTTGTGACAAATCACGGATGTGTAAATAGGCCTTGTAATTAACTGTTGAATGGGATTAAATTATTCCACAGAGCAGACTCATTTCATTACTTCCATATCTACTCGCAAGTTCCAAAAATGAAGATTTTACCTCGCTTTCATTATAATATGGCCGACTCGCGAATAAAGTCTATAGACCATTACCATGTTGCGGCCATCTTGATTTTTTCCCATTCAAATCAATGTAACCAAAGCGAGGCTGAAAGAAAATAGTCTGGTTCCTTTTTCGCACAAAAACCATTATCATTTAGTAGTGTTATTGGATACAGGGACATGACTGAAATGGTGGCAGCTGATAAAGGTCTATAGACCCGACACATACAAAGTACAGACCTGTACATTATGATGTCATGCTTCTTCCTGTGGGAGCTTGTGGCTCTCCTCCATATACCTGTCTCCCCTTGGGAAAACAGACACTACATGTTGTATACATGTACGTACAAACATAGACATCAACTGTTACAGTGTCCGTCTCTGGATTTTATTTGGGAAATTTCTTCAAGTCTAGAATTTGAAGGAAATATTATCAGCCTTTTTCCAATATTGCACAATTTAATTTATAGGCCTATCTATTCATTTTCAATTCAAAACTCGCATTTATTTCCATACCAAAATGAAAATACAAGCATAGAATACAAGATTAAGTACATAATCAACAAATAGAGTTTGTCAAAAAGGTTGAAAATCTATCAATGATTTCACTATTGTCGACCCTGGGTGGTGTAGTTTCCTTTCCACTGGTACTACACCAGTCACCACGCGGTGATCGATCTAGGGTCCGCCATTTCCAGTATCAGTTTTCTCTTTGGCATTTCTCCGTTTCTATCACTGTGTTGGTACAAACGTATGGTCTTCTGTAAACAATCCTGAACCACAATGTGCATGGAATAGTGCACACTACATTTTGGTGTATGGTTTCAGTTTTCTGTGTGCCATAAGGTTGCATTAAAGAAGGAAATAACTATATTTTGTTGACTGATTATATGCATATGTGTAAATGTATAAAGTTCACCAGTCTTGTGAGTTTTATTTTGCGGTTACAACTTAAACTATATATTAGCATTGAATGTACATGTAGTTTACATTAACATACACGTGCAGTGTTCATGTACTTCCTTATCAAATGAATGGTAACATAATGACCTTGATTAGTTGATAGCAATTTGTTAAGTACCGGTACAGAGCCACACCCATAGGTCTTGTTAAAATGATGTCATTTCCTACAGACCATCCATGTGCATCTGGGCAATTCCAGGTTACTCATGTTACGAAAATGTAACGTGATAACCGATTTGTGCGTCTTGTTTATCATACATACACATTTTTCTGGATGTCATCTTTGGTGGCTTAGGTAGGTCTAGGTCTACTCTATCTACATGGGGATAACTTTATTAAACCTTTCAATAAGGTAATTACATGTACAGCCCAAGGAAACTCAAAAGTACCTGTATTCACAGATGTAAACGTGAGTAACCGTGGAACTGCCCATCGGCATTTTGAGCGTCAACTTGCTAATGCGCATCGGCTGCGTCGTATTTCGAACACATTTCGAGCAACAACGGCGCGTGTTTGAAACATTTTCAAACACTGTGCAATGCGTGCTCGATTGTGTAAAATACGCAATTGCAGTTCTCCCACAGAGATGCCGTCACTGAATGAGCCCTATTGTCACTTTAGTAACTTTTAAGTTCCGTGCTTGAAGCTGCCAGTTATAAACATGTACAAGTGTATCAAAAGTATATGTACTTCCGAAAATTACGTACCTGTACATGTACAATGTACCCCTTCCCAGAAAAGGACAATGTACTCTGAAGTCAAGAGATTGATTTGTTAGTGAATACTTTTGAGTGTTGTGAACTGTATGACCTCTCCTTTTGAAGAGGTCAGTACGTTGTGTAGCTACCGATACATGCCACATATTCAACAGGTTGTTCTATTCTATTCTATGTATGGCATTAAGTAAACAGATACTAAACAAACAGTAAAATCAACCGACCCCTCGACCGCGACGACCCACTCGGCCCAGGACCACCTCGACCCACGACCCCATCGACCCATGACCACCTCGACCCACGTCTCCCTCGACCCACAACCCCCTCGACCCACGACCACCTCGACCCACGACCCCCTCGACCCACGACCCCCTCGACCCATAACCACCTCGACCCACGTCTCCTCCGACCCACGACCCCCTCGACCCACAACCCCCTCGACCCACAAGCCCCTCGACCCACGACCACCTCAACCCACGACCACCTCGACCCACGACCACCTCGACCCACGACTCCCTCAACCCACAACCCCTTCGACCCACAACCCCCGGACCCACGACCCCCTCGACCCACGACCTCCCTAACTTACGACCAGATTTTCTAAATCATTTATCGTTTTGATTCTTTACAGATAGTGCGTTGCCATGGGCAACCTGTTGTTAAAACTTCGAGGTCCACAGGATGACGACCCACAGATCTTTATTGACTTTGAAAGTGAGTCACACATTGGACAATTTGGTACAATTGAGGTCACGCATTTGAAATCGTTTGTATAGTTTTGTTAGTTTTAGTTCTCTCTGTACTGTGTTCCTGAGGTCAGAGTTTGATACCTTCTAGTAAAAAAAAAACCTTTTTGTGTTGTGTCTTGGTTTACAGAAGCAGAACCCAAGGAAAATGAGGAGGAGCTTTACAACATGGCGGAGGATGTCTTACGGGAGGCAGATGAGATATTGAAAGACTTACAGCATTACGGAGGGGCGGGAGAATCGATTAGAGCGTTGAGTTTAAGCCGCATCCCAATCAGCTGAGGTGGGGCCATGCTCGTGCTCATTTCACATGGGGTGCATAACCTTTGTTTTGAGGGGCGCGCGTAATTTAAAACCCTGTCAGTTTAAAGGAGCACTAAGTATGTGCAGACCACCCACATGTAAGTGGTGTGCCATGCCTGCTTTGTCATCTGTACAGTTACTTGCTATAGCGAGGGGCAACAAAGCTTTAACACTAATCGCCTAGGCCCTTTTTGGCTAGGAACCATCCTCAATCCTCCCAAATCATTGGGTGTTTCTCAAATTTATTTAGTGGAGGTAGACCACTGCCTCAATCCTTCAAAAATCCTCCAACAATCATTGTAACACAATGAGGAATTGGCGATGATATCCAGAAGCAGTGAGGATGGTATCTAATATTTATAATCTCGGCATAATTAATGCCTGGCTAAGCATAAACAACACAAGGTGGCAGCTTAAGACCTTAACACAATAGTAGTAAAGTCTGTCACAAGCCAATGTGGCCCATCAGGCCAGCATTTAACTCCGGTTTCATTAGCTGAAACGACTGAGAATATTTCTACTCCCCCTGGATGGATGCAGTCCATCGGAGGTTACTCCCCAGCTAATGCCGGTACCCATTTGTACTCCTGGGTGGACAGAGGCAAGTGGGGTTAAAGGGGCTTGCCCATGAATGCAATACATGACCAGCAGCTGGATTCAAACCCCTGACCCTCTGATCTTGAGTCACGAACCCTAACCACTTGGCCACACTCCCCAATTGGACAAAATGCATCCGCCAAAATCAACTTGCACAAAAATGGCATACAATCTCAATCCCCCATATCCTTCAATTTGGAGGATTGAGAAGGGTTAGTGTTAATTTGTCCTGTGAACAGTTTCAAGAATTGCTTAGCATTTCTGACAAGGCCAGTTGGCTCAATATAGAATAATCCAGGCAGGCTATCACGAAGGCCCCCTTCAATGGCGAAGCATTGTGGTAGCTGGTGTACAGCTTTCGCCATTGAAGGGGGCCTCATGTGTGTACTGTGATCATCTGCCTAGATTCGTCGATAGGGTAGAACAGTGGTGCAGAAAATGCACTGTGTGCAAATCATGGACTAACATTACTTGTGTCTTTTCACTTCTATTTTTTCAGGCCATTTGTAACCCCAGAACGAGAGTTGCAACAGAAGGCATGGGCTGACGTTTGTCCCTTGGTAGCACGGCTCAAGAGATACTTTGAATACTCACAGAAAATTGGTAAGTCCAGCCGCAAGACGATCACCTTCATGCTAACTCATGGCTTTAAGGATAGCCTTGTCATCAACGCGTCATTACTTCACTGTTAAAAACCTTAACATGATTGGTAAAGGTGTGACTCATCCAACCCAAAGCTTTTGCCAAATGTGCTGATATTTGTACTCTCAACTGCTAAGTTGACAGGACATGAATATGATATAATGTGATGCAAAAAGCGCAGGCTATGTACACCATCTCGGGACTTGGTCGCCCCCCTCCACTCTTCCCTATCCAACATTAGGGTCCTCATCTCCCCGTGTCACCTTGACCAATGTCCCATGTACGTGGCTCACCTCTCCCCCCCTCCTGCCAGTTCCTGAGTTGGCTCCCACAGGATGGTGTCTTGGCTACCAGCTCCGGGTGGGGGACGCAGTGGCCCACCAGACCCATCCTCCTCTCCCTGATATTGACCGAGATACGTGGAAGGCCTCCATACAGGTCGATGTTACGATGTGGTCTTCCCAGGTGATGCCTAGAGCCATGCGCAGCATCCTGGTGTAGACGCCATCAAGCGACTTCTCCTGCTGCACAATCAGACCTTGATAAGAGGATATATCACATGTGTATTCTCGACTTCTAAAACTGTGGCAAAGTAGTGTCCATTTTGAAAAGCACAACAGTGATGGGTCAATAGAGCACAAGTGAAATGTTTCTGTGGTTTTTTCTCTGCATTTACAGAGAAGGCTTTGCGGCCGTTACTGCAAGAGTTATGCACCGACGTGGACATGAAACCTGCCGAGCACCTTGACAGTCACCAAGCGCTGGCGAAACAGTTTGCTAAGATACTCCACTTCACTCTCAAGTTTGATGATCTTAAGGTTGGTAGAGAGACTTCAAAACCAAGGCAGGAACAAATGTGATCAAGGTTGTAGTTAGAGTACTTGTGACAAATCACAAGTACGTCACTAGTCCAGTCATAAGTCAATCACAAGTCCATCACAAGATGATCCCCCTAAAAGTAGTCCTGAAGCCCATCGCCATTTTAATAAATGATGCTGCACTCCTACATGTATTTCATCTGAATTTCACAGAAAATACAAACGCAAATTCCTGTTCACGGTTCCTTGTACCCTTCTGTTTTGCAAATCCTCAAGTTCATGTCCCACAAAATGTTCTAATAGCAAAAAATAGAGGGCATGCAAATTGTGATTTGGCCGACGTGGGCAATTTCAGGCCTATTAATCAGCTGCTGGCAATATGTGTGTCCTTGGGCAAGCCACTTCACCCACATTTGCCTCTCTCCACCCAGGAGTATAAATGGGTACCAGCATTAGCTGGGGAGTAATCTGCGATGGACTGGCATCCATCCAGGGGGATAGAAATATTCTCGGTCGTTTCATGCCACTGAAACCGGAGATGAACGCCGGCCTGATGGGCCAGATTGCCTCGTTGACAGACTTGACTTTTACTTTACTTACTGTACAGTCTGGAGTTCCTGCAGGCAGTTCCTACATTATGAAGGAACAGCCAGCTTTTCTGCCTTGGGCCCAGACCATCCTGGCACCAGACTGTTGCCTTTGCTTGGCCTTGCCTCAGGCTAACTCTGTCTGGCACACGAATCCACAATGTCTTACCTTGTTAAGTAGATATATTGAGTCATCACGATCATGTGCGTAGGCTTACCAAGTTAATGTGCTTGGCCATTTGAAAACAAAACCATGTTACGGTTTGAAGGTTCGAAAACTGCCAGTCTTGTATTTGTATTTCGAGGAATGCGATCTCAAGATTTGTTAGTTAAGAATTTACTTTTTCTTTAAATGTAAAGTAAGTCATCCTGTTAATACAGCACTAGAGAACATTCTTTTTCTCTCATTAACAAATGAGTGATAGTCCAACTGAATCCTTTTGATGGATGCACATGCAGTATTTTTTCCAACAGTTTGTATGTTTTGTTTTAGATGACCAATCCATCAATTCAGAATGACTTCAGTTACTACCGGAGGACGCTTAGTCGAATCAAGATGCAAGACACGGTAAGCCCCTACCCCTTCAAAAAACAATTTGTAACTTTACAAAATGTGAAGCTGTCAAGTTGTTTAAAGGTAACATACAACATTTACGTTTGCTGCAATTTTCAGAAATGTATGGATTTGGGGATAGTGTTTTATAGCTAATATTGTTACACTGACCTGTTTCAAGTTTTGTGTTCATAGATGCTGAAAAAAAACACAAGAAAAAATGTTGATCTTGTTGTCTGGTTTCCTGACTCTACTTCAGACGAAATGGAGCAATTTATAGACGTTCAGAATTGTCAGATCAGGGAACCAGACTAGCTGGCTTGCACCCGTTCACGGATGAATAACAGATGGCAAACAAATTTGGACTGACTAAATTTGGTAAAATTGGGGCAGTATTTGGAAAAAGTCAGTTTTTTGCAGCGATGGTCAGCTGACCATCATTTGATATCGATACAAAAATTCCACTTTTCTTGAAAATGTCAGCGCAGCAGGTCCCATGATTTCACAGGCTGCTTGAGACTATTATTCACTAACAGTCAGGTATATGTAAGGTATTCATAATAATCTGGTAGTTCTGCTTTTTGATGTTTGAAAATGTTGTATATTTACCTTTATGTCTAAATTTAGATGTAGTAAGTTCAGTCAACTGTCATATGACAGCTTCAAACCGCTCAACGTGATCACAGTTTGAACTCTACTCTTTGTGTTAGTGGATCATTGTTAAGAAAAACACAGGTGGGTTTTTTTTGGGTAAAACATGTGGTTGCCTAAAATTTTTCTTTTTAATAGAAGGTATTAAGATCGAGTAATGTTGTCTGTCTTCTGTCTTACCAGGACCAAGGCAGAACCGCACCTTTGCCGTCAACAACGAGATGGCCAACAGAATGTCCCTGTTCTGGCCGAGGCTTGCCCCATGCTCAAAGTCCTGAGTGACTCCACTACGAAGTTCGTCACTGAGTATTTAATTCAGAATATTTCTAAAAATTGTTTTAGGAGTGAATTTCTGTGTATAACATTTTTTTTTGTCCACGCTATTAATAAATTATTAACTAGCATCTACAGTTTGAAATGTTAAGTGGTCTACGCAACGGCCATAAAAAAAATCAATGAAATGTTAAGCAGCTTGCATTTTGAGGATCACACCTGATGTTTTTTTCCCTATGGGGTCATTCTATAAATTGAGGGTCCAAAGTGTGACATTTTTCCCGTCCCTGTTACCTTGGTACTTTGTAATTTGCCATTCAAGTATCATTAAGAATGACTTCAAATGATTGTTTATTTGTTGGGTACGTAGTTGCTATTCATAATCACTCTTGGAGGATGACTGCATTAACCCTAACTCCCTAGCGTCTTTTACTAGGAACTGGACCAATTCCATCAAAATCCATCAATCACTGTGTGTCTAGTACAAAACTGTACATGACATAATGGAATCCACCACTGATGCACTGGTTGACATTCATGGACTTGCTACACATGGCTTTTTATCACAATAGCAGTACAGGAAGCAAGGCAAAATCAATCAGATACCCCTAGCACTGCTTCAGGCCATTAGGCCCAAGTCCATCATACTCCATCAATATTTAGTCACGCCAGGCCTTCTGACCAAGTCCACCAAAATCCACCAAAATGGGGGATGAATTTTGATGAGTTGGGGTGGTTAGGGTTAAGGAGTGCATCAGAAATAATGACATCATAGATGTCCTATGTAAAAGACCTATATCATGCTTCCACCATTTTAGTCATGTTCCCTGTATCCAATAACAGTACTGAATGATAATGTTTTTGTGCATAAAGGAACCAGACTATTTTCCCCTCCAGCGTCGCTTTGATTACATTGATTTGAATGGGGAAAACAAATCTAATGGCTGCAACATAATAATGGTCTATAGGGACAGGGAAAAAAGTGGACCCCAAATTTATATAATAATTCATAATCTATTTACAGTGCAAGCAGGTTCCACTTGAGAACACAACAGATGTACTGAGCACGATGGTCTCGGTCTGCAAACTCATGATAGCAAGAAGGTAGGAATGCTTCCGACCTCTAGCCAAGGAGTAACGAGTCCTTTCCTTATTTGTTCACACTTTGTTGCTCCCCAAATTTTCCTTGTACTCCATTACTTGTTGTTTGGATCAAATATCACTCTTTCGATCAGATTCCAAGCCTTGCAAACTTGATCACCAAAGGATTTCCCCAAGACTTGCTTCCATGGCATATCTTTCATTTTTTATTGGCGACTGAAATTACCTTCCTTGTTTTTGGTACCAGTTTTCAACCAGCGAACTTTTTGCCTGTGTTGTGGTCTCCGACTTTGTCAATGTCTTTTATTCGAAGCTAGTCATATAATCTGAAACGTGACCAAACCTGATCCCGAGAAACTCAATGCTGAGACCGGAGATCACAGCTACAAACTGGGGAAATGGCACGTAGCCTTTCACAAAGCTTACTCGGTGGGACTCGATCCACGAGCTCCTCCTTACCCGTACATCCTGGTTTGGTTTAAGACATGTATAAAGCTGGCTGTATCTTCATATCATTTCTCTTTCCTCAAACAGCGAGCACTTCTCAAGATTCCAAACGAAGACACCTCTCTTTTCTGTATGCGTATCATGGTCGGCCTTATAATTCTGTATGATCATGTCCACCCGGTCGGAGCATTCGACAAGAAATCAAGCATAGATGTAAGTGTCTTGAGTATTTTCTCCTTATTTGTTTGCTTCCTTTTGGGGGTGGGGGAGGCGGGGATGGGAAAGAGGCAAGCATGGTTGTGTCTGAGTGTGAGAGATGTGATAAGACATATGTTATGCTTGTTGCCAACATTGGAAGTTTAAAGGGCCATGTATTTGGATTTTTTTTTTAATGCAGTCCATGTAAATGCACCTGTGTCCCATTTAACCTGATTTTAAATTTTCATTTTGCTATTTTTTAAGGGCATCTTGGTGCCTTTTTGGTTTTTATGCTAATAAAAATTTGCATATTCGTGAGCAAAAGTGTGACGTCATTTCAGGCAGACAACTCAATGTTAAAGCTATTTCAGCATAAAAATTTGCCCGAATTTTTGATATTTTGCTGTCGTAATTTTTTTTTCTTTGGTGATTCGTTGTTGTGTCAGTACATGGCAGTAGGCCAATGACCAAAGTTTTCTCACAAAATGTTTTCAATGAGTAAATGTTGGGTCCACAGTTTGAACAGAAAACCCCACAACTGAACATCATCTTTCCAAAATGACATCACAGCAACAGCGCCCTTTTAATAGTTGTCTGGAAAAGCATGGACGATTTTTAATATTTAAATAAGTGCACTTTTCAATTAAATTAACCAAACAGGGATGTCAAATAGTATTCATACATTTAAGAGGAGTAGAAAGTTGCACGAAATGTGTTCCTAAGAAAAATTCATTTCATGGACACTTTAAATAAATGTATCTGAAAGCGAGAGTTATCAGCTAATTTTCTTGGCATTAACAACGTTTTTGTCAACGTGTTTTTTTTGCAACCAACAGGTGAAAAGTTGCATTAAGGTGCTGAAGGACCAAAATCCCAATGAGTTTGAAAATCTGATGAATGCACTGAGGTAAGCCGCACTGATAATAATCAGTAGAGACAACCCGGGCATGCTATCAAATCTATCACGAAGGCCCCCTTCAATGGCGCAAGCATTATGGTAGCTGTTGTTGAGATTATCCATCTCAGGGCATTTTGCTTTGTACAAACGCATACACAATGGTTTCTGGACTGAAGGGAGCTTCATAGGAGGTCGTGGGTTTTAGTCCCACCTGAGTGAGTTTGTGAATTTTTTTTTTGCAAGCACTCGGACATTACTGAGTATACAGTGTTTATAAAAGAAAATACCAGCAAAGGGCAAAACCAAATATTCAGGGTTGTGCAAAAAAAAGGAAACCCACTTTTGACAGCAATTTTCACCTACATGTTAAGCATATTTCAAAAATTCAATTTAATGGTATTGATATTTGATCTTTAAACATAAGTGATGAAAACAATGATTGCAAATGCCTATTTTGTTTTTGAGATGTTTAGTTTAAAATTAAAATTTTGTGTGCCAAACCTGTTTGTTTGCGGACGGCTTTATTCCATCCACTTAACTGAGCTCCGGAGCTTGATTTGTTTACGACCACGTCGCAAGAGGCACATACCCCAACAAAGCTAGAGGGGTGTTTCGAAAAACACAAAGTAAAATGGTTGAACAAACTCGTTGAAATTTATAATTTTTTGTGACTTTTTGACTGAAAAGGTATTTTTGAATGGGAATAATGTGTGCTTGGCCGGTATTAACCAGTTCACGTCCATCCGACGTGTATACATGCAAAGATTTTGCGGATGACGGATAAACACCAACAAGCGAGGCCAGAAAATATCTGTCTGCAACCCGCTCACAGTGAGCGAGGCCGGAAATATCAGGGTGTGCTACCTGCATATGACAGCCTGAACTCGTCTGGCATCGAGGTTCGAGAAAAAAATCCGGTGCCTGTGTTTCGGTCAATGTCAAATAATGTTAATGTTAAACAAGTCCGTTTAAGACGGGCTTGGGGCCTGGTCGCCGATAATGGCCGGAGCCGAATATAACCTTCCATTACCACTCCTTTTGAATGTCTGTCCATTTCCCACAGGTACAACAGCAAACATTTTAACGATGAAAGCACACCCTACTCCACCAGGGCCCTCCTTACCTGAGCTGACCTTTGACATGACCTGTAGGGTCATCTGACTCACGATCCTTCCATTCAGTGTATCTTCCTAGGAACGTCTCATCACGGAACAGCGTTCTTGTGTTTTCAGCCAGACTGTTCAATTTCAGCCAAATAAAACCTGTCTTTTTCTCTGGGAATTAAAAAGTAGGTGAGAGAAATTTGAGTTTCACTTCGATATATTTTGTGAAATATGAATATTTCTAATAATTATAATTTGTGGTAATATGATTCTGTGGAAAAACTTGAAATCCAAATTGAATGGTTTTATTTCCCGATCTTAAATCTAAAGCACACTTTCTTCATAAAGCCAAGGAACAAAAATACTCTTGCCTTTTGCCCTTGACCTTTTTTTGAAAAAAAATTAGAATTGCAGTAGTCGCATGGAACATGTATTTAAAAAATGTCATTGTAAAGATATGTTTTTGTAATGCTCTGAAGACTTTTCGGATAATTGCAGAATACCCCGCCATGCGAAAATTAACCCCCTAAAATAAATGGCTACGCAGTCGGAAAATGTTGCAGAAATGTCCAAAGTACATGTAGATGTCGGGAAGTGGATACGCGGATACAATATACGGGGTGGATTTGAACGCTGGAGGGTCTAAAGAGGGCGCTATTTCCCTGTATTATTTATGAGAACGAAGCATCCATATATCCATGTTGGAAAATAACGAAGGCGCTAGGCAGAGACAGCGTGATTTGAATGTGGAGCAGGGGAATCCAAAGTAGGTGCCGGGAAGTGGATACGCGGATACGGGGATACGGAGTGGCACACGCGTGTGGTTTTGGGGAAAACGTCTAAGTCCCAAAGTAGGTGCCGGGAAGTGGATATGCGGATACGGGGATACGGAGTGGCACACGCGTGTGGTTTTGGGGGAAAACGTCCAAGTCCAAAGTAGGTGCCTGGAAGTGGATACGCGGATACGGGGATACGGAGTGGCACACGCGTGTGGTTTTGGGAAAACGTCCAAGTCCAAAGTAGGTGCCGGGAAGTGGATACGCGGATACCGGGATACGGGGTGGCACAGGCGTGTGGTTTTGGTTGAGCATCCAAGCGTGACTCCGTATCCGCGTATCCGGATACGAGGTGGGATAGGTGAGTGGCGGGGTATTCTGCAATTGTGCCGACATAATGAACTGTACATGCGAGTAAATTTTGCCTCTCCTGTGATGTTCGATGCTTGCAATATGATACAGATAATGAGTGTTTATGAGTGCAATGGTAAGAATAATTTCATGAGGTGACAGATGGAACGTTCCATTCCACGAGGCGAAAAATGGGACATTCCATCTGTCACCCAATGAAATTGTTCTCACCATTGCACAAATTGAAACATTCAATATTTGTTTTATTAAACACCTGAATAAATCCTTGTCATCTGAGTGGCCAGAGCCACCAAGAAGTGTGACTGTGTAGTGAACTTCCATTTAGCGTGGAATAGACTTCTATTTTTTGCTGTGTGTTGGGACGAATAAGTCAATGACACGTGATCAATGATGGGGATTTATTTAGCCATTGTTTTACAACTGGATGATTTGGTTCCGGCATGATAGACTTCAATACTTCTGAAAAGAAGAAAAAAATCTCACCCGAATTCGGAGGGAAAAAGCGAGATTTGGCGAAAAAAAAAATGCTGGGCCAGTCTACACTTGGCACAGAGCTAATCATTTATAGTGATTCAGATTTGAATAATTCTAGCCCTTTTCACACCAGACAAATCTCGGGGTTGACGCAGGGTTGAAAACATGCATCGTTTCACACTTGAAGAATTTCAACCCCGCGTCAACCCCGAGATTGGTTTCAACCCCCGGGTTGAACTCAACCCTGCTCCAGAACCGGGGTTGAGATTTTCAACCCGGGTTGAAAATTTTGCCAGGGTTCAAACCAGTAGTAACTGAGCATGATAAGCTTGATTTGCATGAAACAAGTGTGAAACGATGC